CAAAGTAAAATGTTTGATTTATGTGAAATAAAATACAAAACATATTGCAGTGCAAACCTGCATTGTTCCAAACAATCATATCGGAGTCGTAAACACCATCAGTAGATAAAAGGTTAAGACATGAAGAGGCATATTATAGGCAAACAACATAGTGGAAAAAGTACAAAAGGGAAAAATATCAGGAGAGAAGAGGAAAACCAGTAGAGCAAGGGGAAGGAAGGAAGGAAGGGAGAGGAGATAAGGTAAGCACGAAGAAAGACATTGGAGAGGAAATAGGAAGAGGGAGGAAAAGAAAGGAGGAACAGAGTTCTGTGCCCTCCATCCGGCCCAGATCCTGTGAGAGATGATGGTAGAAATTAGGGATGCACCGATACCAAGTACAGTACTCGGTACAAGTACCGATACTTTTCGAGCTCCAAGGCTAGACTAGAGAAAAGTCCAAAAATTAGGAGGCAGCTGTCATTTGTAAGGAGTACTCAGAGCTCCTGGGATTTGTACATCTCTGTTTTAATGTATGATTTTGTTTTTATAAATATAAAGGGATACACCGATACCAGTTTTGCGGGTACAAGTACTGATACTTGCCCAAGTACTTACAAGTACTGATACGGATACATTTTTGTTTATTGTCATGTGACAGTTTTTCTAAAACAATATCTATTAATGATTTCAAGACAGTGGTGGAGCACCAGAGCCAGGTCCCAGCTGCAACCACTGCAACCCTGGTAGTTCTCATAAAAATTCCAAGTATCTGCACTGATACTCAAAGTATCGGTGCATCCCTAGTAAAAATAAGTTAAATAGGGGAGTCCATAAGCCACCAGGAGGACCAGGTTTTCTCAAATGTTACATAAGTGTCCTGTTAAGTATTTAATGTTGAAAGCGTCAAGAATGCATCTATAGAGATCAAGGTTAGAGGGTGGTAGGTTACGCTTCCATTTCAGGGACAGGAGACATCTAGTGGCGGTCAGCATGTGGTTAGCTAGTTTAGTACACTGGTAGAGTGTCTAGGCATGTGTGGGAAAGAGAGACCCAGCCAGCAGTGAACACGGTGGATAACCTCCGGAGTATCAACTAGGTCACCAAGTAAGGTCATTACCTGGCCCCCAGTAATCACAAATTTGAGAACATTCCCAAAAACTGTGATATAAGGCAACATTATTGCACCTTCAGAATACAGAAAGGATTGTTGATATATTTAAGGTTTGCATACTACACTAAAATCACATACTAGAACTACATTAACACTTGAGCATGGGTACAAGCCTTCTTTAGTACATAGGTACAGGCCTTCTCCACAACAGATGAGCAGTTATTCTCTAAATGCGATCTTAAATAGAACCCGTCATTGTTACTGGTGAGCTGCTTTTTAAAGGTACAAATTTTACTTGCTCCACTACATAGGGAGTTACTAACCTGGAACAAGTGAGCACTGGCTTTTAATAAGTGACATGTGAACCCCAGGAACTTACCAATGGATTCAGGGGTACAGTTTAAGGAAAGCTGAAAAGACTATACAAATGCATTATAAAATAAAAGCTCATCCAAGCCCACCCAAATTCCCAGTATTGCTTCTTATCCAACCCAATTTATAAGTATCTGTTGTGCAGGCTTCTTCTAATAGTACCAGAACTTTCTCTCATGAACTTTCTTCTCATAGTGTGAAGTATAGGAGATAAGGCACCTTGATAGAATGTTGTGTAAAGAGGCTCAGTACTATAGCGGCACATACACAGCATTGGTTTTAATATCATCTGGGCATCCTGCAGGTCTTAGTGACATTAAGGTAAAAAAAAATCCCTCCCCATGTTAATGTTAGCACTTCCCTTAAATTATGTCTTTTATTCCGATCTTCCTCTTCTTTCCTGATGTTTTCATCTGTCCCTCCAGCGTTGCGGCGGCTCTCCGATCCAGCGCCGACTCCTCTGTCCCTGCAGGCACTTCTGATCCAGCGGTGTCTGCAGGCGGGTGCACGTGTCCATAGACTTACCTTGCGTCTCTGCTCGTCTCCCGGCCGAGAATTGGAACTGCGCATGCGCCCGCCCCAAGATCCTTTGCGGCCGTATAAGCGGTTCCTGATTCTCGGCGCGGGAGCGCGCAAAGAAAAAAAAAAAGGTACGTTTAAACCGCTGTTTGTGTTTTTTTAATTCTATTTTTAAACTGTTTGCATATATCTACGGCTTCATAGTCAGTATGGTGCAGGGTTGCGGGAAATGTAGTTTTAACTGTGCACAGCAGCCTGTGATTTACACACACTGCTTGCAGAGCACAGAGGCGTAATAGGACTTGAAGCTTTATTCCCTAAGGAAGTGAATGCATGACACCCATGTTATGTCAGTCCCTGCTTGTAATGCTGTTTCTTTCCTAGTAGAGAAGAAGCTGAAACACCCTTTTAAGCATTGGTAGGTGTTCAAAATGCCTGTCAATAGCCCCTTTCATGCACAGCAACTTATTACCTAGGCTGAGTGGTTGGCAGATCGGCCTTGCAGTACTGGGGCTCTTTGGTCAAATACCAGCCAAGATGCTGTTAGTATATTCTTCCTGTGCTTGCATTGGTTTCCTCCAACACTCCAAAGACATGCTGGATGGTTAATCGGTTCTTATTTAATTTTGCCTGTGTGCAAGTTTGTGTGTTAGGTACCATACTTTGTAAGCTCCTGCAGGGCAGAGATGGATGGGAATGTACTGTCCATAATAGAAGTCACCAGCACTCGATGTGTGCAAGAAGTAAAGCACTTTTTATTAAATTGTCACATGCATTATACAGCCAACTTATCGGGGCCACGCAGGGTCCCTTCTTCTGGGCAACATAGTGACGTTACTATGTTGCCCAGATGGGACAGTGCGTGGCCCCAAAACGTTTGCTGTATGACGCATGTGATCATTTAATAAAAAGTTCTTTACTTCTTGCACACATCGAGTGCTGGTGACTTCTATTATGGACTGTATCTGACACGGCGCCGTCTGTGTTATCACTTCAAACACCAACCTGTCATCAAGGTCTGTACGCTGTATGGAGTGCAGTTGATTTCATATTATCATGTACAGTATGTAAAACACTGTGTAAATTGTCAGTGCTATATAAATGCCTTTAATATACCGTATATACTCGAGTATAAGCCGAGTTTTTCTGCCCCGAATCAGTGTTCAATACTTTTTCCCAGTTTTTTGTGGTAAAATTAGGTACCTCGGCTTATATTCGGGGCGTCTTATACTCGAGTATATACAGTATATAAATATTTTGTCTAGTCAGCAGACTGGAAGTATGGAGGTCACCAATCTGTATTACTAATATAATAAAAGGAAAAACTGGGTCATCCACTGTGTTATATGAATCACAAATATATTGTCAGATAAAACGGTTACCATTTATGTTTTTCATATGTGCATTTATCCTTTTTGCTGGAGTTCAGCATGCTGGAGTGTGGGGTTAATAGAAAGAAAAAGGCAAAAGGGATCTTACTGTAAATCAAATTATTATACAAGCAAGAAACGTAAACATCTGTTAAGACTTACCATGTGATCTACTGAATTTTACTTTACCAGCGGGTGCAGCACAAACTCAATTTACAGAATAGTACAAATGACAAATACAAACTAATATTCAAAATCACTTTAATTGCAGGTGAATGTACTAAACCAGACGTGTTTTAGCACCCATGACAGTATGAAGTCAGGCTAGGTTGAATTATGCTAAAGCAGCAAAAGAGAATGGCTGACTCTTGATAAAAAGTACAACTCAACATCTTTAGCACATTGTGGTGAGAAAACACAAAAAGGGACAAGGCTCCTCCCTGTTCACATTTGAATGAATATTTAAGACCATCATGCTGTGATTCTAGTGAATTGTATTTCAGTGTGTCCATCTGGACTGAGAGGTAATACTATACATTTACATGAGGTTTTCCTTTAGAAAAACACACCATAGGCAAACATTTCAGGACGAACAAAGAATTGTAGACCCCAAAAGTCACTTAATCTGTTCTGCTGGCTCCTACAGAGGATTAAGATGTTCACAGAAAACCTTATGATAACAAGTACCCGCTGCAATATAGAGCACGTCATACATGTCTACTCTAATTTGTCCTCCCCTGCAGCCACACATTTATGTAAATGAGCCATCCATATCAAAATATTCAGAGCACATTATAAAAAAGCATTTATAAAGTCTGGAAAAAAGGTGAGCGCTTTCATTTTGGGCTGTTTTGTACAGTTGAAAACATATCAGGACATGTTAAACTGCAGTTTGCTTTCAATTATCTCAAGTCATAATATAGTGAATATGTGACCAATAAAACAACTGATAAGGTCATTTAACACTGGCATCAGCTGGGGGAAACTATCTATTCTGTATAATAATACTCCTAAAAAAATAGAGGAAAAAAACCCCTAAACATTGTGTTTATCTTGTTCATTCACTGAACTCATTTTCACCACTCTTCTGACATGGTCATTTCAAAATCAATACTCTGCATAAGATAAAAAGGAACCATTCATGAAATGAACAAGGGGACCAATACTGAATTTGTTACAGGACTGTAACCATTGATGTTGGTTATAGGCATACAATAACATTACATTTAAAAAATAGGCAGCAAATTGACCTCTAACAGACTATTTAAAACTGAAAAGAGTACTGACCGAGCAAAGAACAATGACTAGAATATTACAAATAAGGCCCTGGGATCTGTCATGACTGTGCTAAAAAAACGTTGTGTATGTGATGTAAAGAACATGCCTTCAGAATGACTAACGGCTAGAAAATCCCACACACATTTGTTCTTTGATTGTTTTTCACACAATTGTAAATAGTTGTATACCAACCGATGCTACGGGATCCAGGACATGCTGTATGATCTCTATACAGGTAGGTGTGGTGTAGGATAGTAGCTCTCAACTCTGGTTCTTTAGGCCTCCTAACAGTGCATGTTGTCTACAGACATGAAGGTGGGATCATTTGTATGGTCCTTTCCACTTAATAGAGCTCTACCCTTAGCTGGTAGAAGGAAACAATGAACTCTTGGTGGGCCTCTAGGATAGGGGTTAAGCATGGCTAGATTAGAGCCAACAATATGCCAGTAATGTGGAATGAATCCAACTCTTAAACACTGCAGGCATATCCCAGGACAAAAATAAAAGTGAAGAACAAAACAGTAAAACTGAAGAATAGTGTTATTGCCGTTATGAGGCATCTGAATTTATAAAGTAACGTCTATGTGGTCTCCAAAGAGTAATCAGAGTTAGGTTTGCGTCATCTTCTCTCCCAAGTTTGAAAAGTCCGTTTACAATAAATTACTTTTGTCCTTTGTATTCTGGCTGCACACTCTGAAGCCCATGAAAAGGGTGAGAAGTCTCCTGTTCTCAGGAGTGAAGGCTGAGTCAATGCTCTTCTTTAGAACTCGTCATGTCTCACCAATGCCTCCCCGAAGTCTGTAGCTTGACTGCCCACAAATAAGTCATATTTATCAACGATTTCTTCTCGTGTCAGCTTGCCATCCTGAGAAGAGAATAAATATCATTAGTGGAAGTCATTGAAATTTTACCTACAACGAATCAAGTTTTTTCATTACATTTGTTGGGTTCTTTTCTAATACAAATCTAAATTTTTAAGCAGGTCAAGTGTTAAAATCCCTTAAATTTTTACTAGAGAAAAAAAAATATTACCCAAAGATTTGGGAGGAGAAAGATAAGTCAGTCCAGTGAAAACTACATTTAAAAATGAACATCTAAAAATGAACATCTACACCCTGCTAAAATCAGTTTTAGGTAAAAATGCACATGTGTTACTCACTCCCATTGGATCAGTATTCAGATTTGAAAGTTTTGTTCTATGCACATAGGAGAATCCTTTCTAAATACTCTAGATAGGAATATAATGTGTGGCAGTAGAATATCTAAATAGTAAAACTGCTGAGCTGCTCATTGGTCACTGCAACCTATGTCAGTCTCCCAACACCACACTAGAAAGACTGGGAGCAGAGCTGCACAAGTAGTAGCTGGAGAAAACAGATCAGAGCAGCACAGGCTGTTGCGTTTGTTGTGAACTGAGTCATCATCATCATCTCTTAAAAGTACAGAAGTGCTAGTGTCGTTTGTAAGTACAATTTAATAGGGATGAACCAATACCAATTCAGATACCAGTGCAGATACTTGGCATTTTCATGAGAACTACCAGGGTTGCAGTGGTTGCAGCTGGGACCGGGCTCTGGCGCTCCACCACTGTCCTGAAATCATTAGTCTGTATTGTTTTAGGAAAAATTGTCACATGACAAACAAAAATGTATCAGTACTAGGACTCTGTTTAAACTTGTAGAGCCGACTGTCGGCTTTACAACAGAAGCGATCCTGGCGATGAGCCGGTACTAAGTGGCCCGCAGCCAGCTGACAAGTCGGGCATACGGTCACGGACCGCGTGCCCGACTTGCAGGAGCAGCTGCACGGTCTGCATCTCCGACTGATGCAGACCGCAGCTCCCCGCATGTAATGGTATGTTATATGATTACATGCAGTTACAAAAATCCCTGGATAAACAATTGTGTAACCACTAATAGTGACAGATTCCTAACTGCATATAATCCTTTCACATATGATTACATGCGGTGTGCAGGCCTGTACATGCAGCAGCTGTCACCCGATCGTTAATTTGAATGGGTGGCAGCTGCCGCTTGTAACATGTGCATACATTAACACTGGTACCGTATATAGTAGCGCCCCCCCCCCACGCGACTAAAAAATTTGTCCAGTGGCCCCCGACTAAATTGAGTTTGAGACCCGTCTTAAACACCACTTCATCTGGGAGCCATCAAATCCCAACAACTACAGATTGCAGATCAAATGCCACTACTTCTATTAGGGATGCACTGATACAGTTTTTTCGGTATGTAGTATGAGAACCGATATTTATCTTTTCAATGCAGAGCACCTATAACGGTACTTCCACTAGCAATCTAGAATGGAACCGGCTTTCCGAGCAATCAGGAAACTGGGTGGCATGTCATTACCCGCTGCCTGGATTCTTGGTTAGCCGGGAAGCCGACTCCAATCAGCATGGAGCCGGCTTCCTTGGAAGTCAGAAGGAAATCTCCCTCTGACCAGAAGTTCTGGTATAGGAGCATTTGGACGAGTATGAATACTTGACCAAATACTCAGTATCGGCACTAATACTAGTATCGGGCTCGGTGCATCCCTAACTTCCATATATTAAATAGTCTGTAAAAATCAAAAGTGCTGTTTTTGAGAACTAAAAGTCTCGCACCATCCTATACAGGAACCAGCTTCCCCTCTCGGTAGCCCAATATACATATCCTTCTCAGCGTTTACCTTGTTTTCGTCAGATTCATAAACAAGATGGCGAGCTTCAGCCTCAGCATGGTCATAGTCAGAGGGTAAGATCCAATCCTTGGTTTCCTCTTTGTCCATTTTGCCATCACGATTCTTGTCTCTAAACTCTACAAACTGTTCTCTTTCAGTCCTTACCCACTCTGGCTCATTGGCATCACCATCGTGGTTATACATATCACCTGGAAAGAGAATACAGTGAACTGCCAGGACACCTTGCAGTTAAATACTATGGATATTATTTGATTTTTACCCCCAAATTTAAAGTTAGAGGTGCACCGAAAACGAAAATGTTTAAAAAAAAAAAAAAAAAAAAGTCAGGTCGAAACTGAAAATTATTTAAAAATAAACTTAGTGACATTAAACCCTTAGATTTTTTAACATAAAACACTAGTGTAATGTGTGCCTTACTGTAATCCATGGTAGTTTCCCTTCTCTTTGATGCTCTTCCTTTTAAATTTGTATCTGTTCTCATGCTTGGAGAGAACTTCCCTTTTCAGCAGACTGCCTTGTCTCAAACGGTGTCTGTGTATACATTTCTGTAGGCTGTAACCTGAGCCAGCACTACAGGAAGAGGCCCTGAGCTGCAAAGGGAAGTTCTCTCCAAGCATGAGAAGAGATACAGATTTAAAAGGAAGAGCATCAAAGAGAAGGGAAACTACCATGGATTACAGTAAGGCACACATTACAGTATTGTTTTATGTTAAAAAATCTGAGGGTATAATGTCACTTTCATTTTATATATTTTTATTAAATATTTTTTACTTTACTGTTCGGGGCAATATTTCACTTTTAAAATAGAAAAAAAGAGATTGGGAACACCGAGTCCTCAATCTTTTTTACTGCATCCCCTGTTATAAATGAACAGGAATCCTCTATACTGAGTGTTCCTGTTCATTCATAACTTGTGGACATAGTACGTTTACTATGTACACAATCGTGAATGAACAGGAGGTGATGTACATCACTTCCCATTCATCATTGGGGACACAGGAAACATACTCTGTCCTCAATTATTTACAAACACTCAGCAATCACAGACTGCTTATAGCCGCTCTCCATCCTGACTTGATGTCATAGGAGGCTGAACGGGGCGGTGCGGGAGGAAAGCCCGGCTTCTTGCATCCCTAATTAAAGTGCGTCAGTTTTAAGTTTAATATTCAATAAGTGACTTGTTGACCACTAACCTATGTACTCGTCCAAATCAATCACTCCATCTCCATTTTTATCGATATCTTCCATTGTTTCCTGTGTATTGAGATTGAAAAAAAAAAGAAAAAACTTAAACAAAATGTTATCAACTTGCCATGTTGAACAACATGGCGACAGCACAAAGCAATGCTGTACTCCTCTTCTAGTAAGACTACATACTCACCAGCACAACAATATCCTTCATATAATCATACTCTTCAGGGTGCAGGAATGCTGTAAATTCCTCTTTTGTGGCAATCAGATCGCCATCTTTGTCAGCCATTTTAAAACGACGCTCATCCCTCACCAGCATCTGTTTGTAATTAAAACTGTTGTCAGGATCAGGATCATCTAAAAACAGGAAATGGAAGGAATAATATTGATTGCTCAATGCAAACTTAAAATGAGCTAATCATTGAATTTATAAATCAGCAGATATTAATGGCAACAATAATTACAACAGTCAAAGTTTGTGAATATAAATCAAACAAACCAAACATTTACTACTCTAAGAAATGTACCTGATTTGGTACAGCTCTCCCTACAAGATAAACTAGTAGTGCATAAACATTCCAAAGGATATTATATAATAATGTAACAAAAAAATAATGATATACATACACACAGTCCATAAACCAATCTAAAAAAAGTCTACAAATGTGTAAAGTGCTCAATTACACCACACACAAAGTGTCAAGAAGAAAATATAGATCATTTTTAAATATATTCCAAATCATGTACAAATCACTTGTTGTGTCCAAAGTGCTTACAATGTGTTTTCCCCTTCTCCTGGTACTCACATAGATTCCACTGACCACATCCAAAGATAAGCAGGTCAAATAGCACTATAATAAATGTATACAATGGGAGGAGGTAGAAAGGAGATTGCACAGCATAAAAATACCTCCTATTAAAAAGGTTAATGTAAAAAATGTCAATGAGTTTCCTCAATCTTAGACTTCATTAGCATCGCTCTTGACAAAGTCTAAGACTGAAGAAACACATTAGATGGCTGGATTTGTCATACAATTTATTTTTCTCTTTTACACCATTTACTGGATTTATATATGTGTATGCTTTAAATTAGAAACTTCAGTCACACATTTGTGGACTTTTTGAGATTGCTTTATGAAGTTTATGTTGATCATATCTTTACGTATCAATAGTGGATTTGTACAAACATTTTGTTATATGTATGTGTTATTTTACATCGTTATATTCTAGCCTTGGGAATTTTTATGCACGGTTTTATCTTGTAGAGTGCTGTATTACTATTTAGCAGTTTGTGTGTAATTCCAAGCATTCTTATGGCCAACTTCTGAAAGTGACACTAAACTCAGGAGTTAAATCTTAATACATTCAAGTATCCTAACTATTAACAAAAATGTATCTTATTTGTGTATCACTCGGCTGTAGATCCTCCAATCATCTCTGAATTGGTGCTGACACTGTCCTTCCTTCTGGAGGGTGACTACTTTTGTTCCCCATGGTTCCTGTGTGTGTTGTAAAGTAGCCACTGCTCCAAGCTCACTCCTGTGAGCTCATGTTTAGTTTACTAAATTTGTATTGACGTTATAGTCTAATCACGGGAGCAAGCTTGGAGTGGCAGCTACTTTACAACACACAGGGACCACATGGGGAACAAAAGTAGGCACTCTCCAGAAGGGACAATGTCAGCACCAATTCAGAGATGATTTGATGATCTATAGCCGAGTGATACACAAATACGACACATTTTTGTCAATAGTTAAGGTACTTGGATGTGTTAAGATTTAACTTCCTTATAACCCTAAACTAACTACCTGAATGAGATCCGCAAAATTTAAACTGTTGGTGTGACTGAAGGTTTGCCAAACATTATGGTGAATAAAACCATTTTAAGATGGCTTTTGCCGTTTTTACTATTTTAATACTTGTACATCTTTTACATCATAAGAATTTTACAAACATTTATAAGATAATCAGTACATTTTACAGAGAACTAGCATTAGTACCTAAATCTGCCTTTAGGTACTAATAAGTGTTTATTGAGCACATTTTCATACAAAACAAACACAAAAGGAATGAGAACAAACCCCATTGAAAAAATACAAAAAAACAGCAGAGACCCAGGCCTCAATCAACTTGAATATATCTCTACACAACGTGCATCAACATTATATCCGTAAACTCCATCAACACATTACATACTAGTGAATATCGGGGAAAACAAACATACGAAGGGTGAAACAAGAGGGAGAGTAGACAGACAAAACAGGCAACCCGCCGCTCCACCACATAGGTCATCACAGGAGCATGGAGACCCGGTCAAAATCATCCAGGAAAAAAGCAGCGACCCACAGGTCCCAGATAGTGGAGTAGGTGGCCATGGAGTTTTCCTGTGACGCCGTGAGTTTCTCAAAAAACATTACCTGGGCCATGATGACAAAAAACATTCTGATAGGGAGAACGGTTGTTTTCCAAGATCTCGCAATCACTTTCCTGGCTGCAGTAAGGATGTGGAGCAACAATTTAAACTGGTGGTTGTTAATTGCAAGTGGTTTTTGGTTGAAGAGAGCTATATGAGGGCTCTGTGACAAGGCGAACCCCAATACTTTTCGAATTTTGGCAAAAAACTTAGTCTAAAAGCAGGTAACCAGTGGGCATTCCCACCAAATGTGCGAAAAAGAGCCCTCTACTGAGCAACTCCTAAAACACGAGGAGGGGTAGGAAGGAATGGCTCTGGAGATCCTCTGGGGAACCAGGTCTAAATCTCTAAATCTGCCTTTTTAGCCTTACGAACAGCAGCACTTGACTCAGAAAGCCGACCCACCCCCCATCAAGTCTATCAAGGCCCTTTGGCTTTTGCACCATCTAACATAAACGGGTTGTAATGTTTAACTGCATTGTTGTGTGAAGGGAGAACCAGGCTGTACTGTCACCAATGGTGGGTCTTTTCTCTCAAAGCACCAAGGTGGTGTCAACATACAATCAACCAATGGATTGACAGCACTGGAACAAATGTTTCTTCAACTATCACACAGATGGACAATCAAGATTTATTCATCTATAACAAAAATGCCATAATATCTGTAACTCACAAATGCAACTTTTAATTGTAACGGTGTAAAAGGCCAGCTACTTTAAATTTGTAATATTAAAAAGTTTAACTGTCATGAAGTCTGAAAATCTTAGATTGTTAAAAGAAAAACCTGCAAGTTATTTGGGTCTTTCTTGAGTAACAGTGTTAAAGACAAGTGTAAGATTGCACCCATTATAAAAGGTATTTCATGGTTATCTCTTTAGCTTGTCATCCTAGGCACTGTACTCATATTCACTTCCAGCCCCCTTACCCAGGTAAGTGCCATAGGTGACATTTCTGTACTCTTCCCATGATATAAATCCATCTTGGTTCATGTCAAACTCCTGCCACTGGCGCTCGACGTTGTCGTACACATATTTTCTTTGGGTCTTCTTGATCCATGCAGTCAGCTCCCCCTCCGTCACAAACCCATCCTTATCCAAGTCTATCTTAGCTACAATGATTCTACAAAGAAAAAAATGGCACGGGTGAAGAGAAAGCAGACAAGAACACCTACCGAAAATGTAACCATAGGTGGCATTTTTATATTCCTCCCACGACACCAGGTTGTCACCATTGAGATCATGGCCCTTCCACTGGCGCTCTACGTCCTCAAAAATCCACCGCTTCTGGGCAAATTTTATCCAATCCCTTAGCTCTTCAACAGTAACAAGGCCATCCTTGTCTGCATCTATCTTACTCACAATCTTTCTGTTGGGCCATCATAGCATCCAGCAGAAAAAGGAAAAGAAAGGCAATATGTTAGAGGAGAGCCAATATCAGAAAGATTACAGTTTATTAAAAAATGGGTATTTTAAGGGGAGAAAACAATGACAGGACAGAAACAAATTGCTGATATGCAAGTTGGGTCATGTTAACATGCTTTTCATTAATCCAGGAGAATACTGTCTCTTATGAACAAATGACTTAAAATATGTTCAAAAGAATATGTTTATAGTGGAAAATAAAATACAACTTTTTTTAAAAAAAAGGTGCCTTTTGGTACATAATCAAATGTTCAACATCTTCTAACGTTGGCTACACACTATAGAATATGATGTAGAATCTTGTTTAGATCTACCATCGTCTACATAGTGCAAGGGCCAACTGATAGGATAAAGATTAAAAAGACTGTGTAGGTTTGTCCTAATATTACAGTTTTGAAAAATCTAAAAAAGGAGTTTGTACAATTAGCCAGAAATATTAGCAAACATGATATGGATGATTTCAGAAATCAGATGCACGGTGTTCATGACGGCTGAAGCCTGGGTGACAGCAAAACTGATATCATCCATATCATAAACAGCAAGCAGAGCACTAGTAAAGCTGACCATACACTGTTAGAAATTTGTTCAAAAATGGTTATCAGAGCATTTAAACTTGCCATCATAGAGTTAACTTTGTTCCAAATTTGCTTCAAATCTCATCCAGAGCTTGTACTTGAATGAAATCCCAGCCGTATTAAACAGGTTTATTTTGTGCCTAGTACATGCTCAATACAACATGTACACTTTTTACCTTATGAAAAATCACATTCACCGTTAGAATTTCATTACTTAAGGTAATTAATAAACAAAATTACATCCTGCTCCTATTTTCTTTGTCACTATGGTCAAAAATCAATTAGACCCCTCTAACAATTAGAAAACTCAAAAGAAAAATCCAAAATATTTTCTAACAAAACTTTACCAGTGTATGGCCAACTTAAGGCATGTTCTTGTCCGGTCATCAACCTTGTTAATTCAATCTGAACATAAGGTGAAGAAATGCATAAGCAGAGGTTACCTTCAGTGATAACCACACATCTAAACCCTCAGATTTTTTAACATAAACCAATATTGTAATGTGTGCCTTACTGTAATCCATGGTAGTTTCCCTTCTGTTTGCTGCTCTTCCTTTTAAATCCGTATCTCTTCTCATGCTGGGCAGAACTTCTATTTTGCAGCAGACTGCCTTGTCTCTGGAATGGATACACGGTGTCTGTGTGTACGTTTGCAACCTGAGCCAGCACTACAGGAAGAGGCACTCAGCTGCAAAGGGAAGTTCTCCCCCAGCATGAGAAGATATGAGGATTTAAAAGGAAGAGCAGCAAAGAGAAGGGAAACAACCATGGATTACAGTAAGGCACACATTACAGTATTGGTTTATGTTAAAAAATCTGAGGGTTTAATGTCACTTTAAATGCAAATCCCGACTTTCCCAGTAAAAGCCGAGCTTGGCTCCAACCCTCTTTGTTTCTTTAATTCAATCCCCACTAGCCAACGGAAAGCCTCTGGAATTTTATGGCAAAAGTTGGAACTGGGGTATAAATTCAGCTGTGTATAATTATCTGGATATACTCATCACTCCGACATTCAGTTCTCACTGAAGGTAATCTATGCTGAAGCATTTTTTATAACTTGCTCAGTTTGAATTAAACAGGATTACTTCAAAACCTTAGCGAGCAGCAGCCATATAAAGAAAATCAAAAAGATTTAAGAACGCCCCATGATAATCTTATAGACATTGCAAACTATTAATTTCTATGGTGAACTGCTTTCCAGGTTGATTGGAATATGGCTCCCCCATGGGAATGAATGGAGCCACAGTGCATTTACGCACCAAGGTGATAAGCCAACGGGGATGTTTTCGGAAGAAAGGCTGTGTGTTGTTGGGGACACACAGTTAAGATCACTGAAATCAGGAGGATAAGTATTCAACACAGCAGGTTGTACTCCGTGGGGTAGGGTGACCTTGTCCTTTAACACAAAACTAAAAATGGGAGACATACCCTAGCCTTTCCTTGCTCTCTTCCGGAGTCAGCTGGTCGAATGACTTGGCTTCGTCTGCTCCCAAAAATGCATCATGGTCATAATCAAAGCTCTGAGAGTCGTCATGTACTTTGTCACTGAGCTGGGTGTCATGGTGCACACGATCCTTTTTCTCAGTAGGTTTGCAGAGGGCACAGAGAGCCCAGAGGCTGAGACTCAGCAGGAGGAAATGCTTGTCCATTGCTTACTGACGTCACCTTGGTTATCAAAAACAAAGACAATTCTGAATTAAACATCACCTGGTGAAGGTCCATGAAACAAAAAATAAAACGTTTCCCTATGGGGATCTATAAAGGCTCATCTTAACCAGATGTCACTGTCAATTAACAACCTGCTGTGGTTGCTAGTCTCCTGGTGATCCCATATTTCCAATCCCATTACAGTTCATTCTCTGAAGCTATGGGAGGACTTCATATCCTAGGTGGTCTTATTTTCCTTCGCTCGCCATTACTGACCTTCCAATGTTTTCTATAACCCCAAAATATACCTGGGATTTCAGACCCTGCAACATTCCATCACAAGATCTGCTGCCAGATCATTACATCTCAAAATTATCTGAATCTTCCAGCATGAAATCGCTCTGGTGTCTGCAAAAAGACCACCATCTTCTGCCAGGAGAGATCTGCCATTATCTGCAGGTTAAACTTTACCTCAATTCCCTGAAGTGCTACACCAGAGATCACATTTAGAAAACCCCATAATCTTCTTCATTCTTCACCACCTTACGCTGCCAAATGGGTTATGCAACTGGGGAATTCACATCGAAGAGCTTTAGTACTGTTTTGGCCCGGCGAATAGTGACAGCAGTCTCTCCTCCCTGCTGGTGGCGGCTGCAGTGGTCTGTGTCCCTGCTGTCTCTGCAGATACAGGTTGGAAGAGCAGCGGGGATTGAAAGGGACACAGCCTGCTGCAGCCAGCACGGAGAAGCAGAGCGTCGGGAACTAATTGAAAAGCAACTAATCGATGATGAGAATCGTTGCCACCGATTCTCATTATCGATTATAACCGTTTTAATCGATTAGTTGTTGCAGCTCTAATATGAATAGCAATTTAAGGACAGATTGATTTATACATATGTTGTGTACTAAATAAGTAAAAATGAAGATGGCTCCTTAGCAGTTTTAAGTTCTGTAACAGATGTGAAGTTAAATTGTCTTGCAAAATAAGTGCTTAAGTTGATTTTTGGTCATGCACAAAAGGGGGGAAAAAAGCAATGTATTTTAGGTTGCAAAACAGACCTAAACATAAAATGCTAACATATTTTGACACAGAATACGCACGTGAACTGCTTAGCTGATAAAAAAAAAAAAAATGCAGCAATAAATGTCCTCTAAAAGGGATATACTCAGATTTGGACTTGATTCCACACTTGAGTGCCTCCAAACACAGAAGGAGCTTCTCTGAACACAGAAGGAAGCTCCTTCTGCTGCCCAATCAACTACGCATGGTGAATTCCCCGGCTGCAGCTGCACATAAGCAAAAGGAATGATAGAGAAATGCATCTTATTTGTGTATCACTCGGCTGTAGATCCTCAAATCATCTCTGAATTGGTGCTGACACTGTTCTTCCTTCTGGTGGGTGGCTACTTTACAACACACACAGGGACCACGGGGAACAAAAGCAGCCACCCTCCAGAAGGAAGGACAGCGTCAGCACCAATTCAGAGATGACTTGAGGATCTACAGACGACGATGAATTTTGTTAATAGTTAGGGTACTTGAATGCATTTTTAAGATTTAACTTCTGAGTTTAGTGTCACTGGAAGTTAACATTTATCCATGAACATATACAAAAAGAAGAAACCAAGCATCCAATTCTAAGGATAGGTATCCAAGAGTATCTGGATAAGCATGAACAATCCAAATGCTTTCAGCATCGCCATTGACAGAAACATGATTTTTTTTTGGAGAGAGGAAGGAAATAATATAAATGGTTCTGGCGAATGCGGTCAGCACAGCTCATCTATTGGGGCAGTAATCAGGCTCAGAACGGGTTTCCTTTTGATTTATGTGCCAAAGATTGTGTCGCTGTGAGAGTCATAGGAGGCTTCCAACACAGGGATCAAATAACTGTCATTTCATGTCTATGCTAAAGAAGCAGCTGCCCTCCAATCGGGGTGGTAGGACCAGCAGACGAGGGATAACTATAAACTCTACCCCCAAGTATGTAATATAAAAAGGAGATCAGTAAAGCCCCTCAAGTAGATTAAAAGACAAGAGGCTCAATCCGTACTGCCAACACAGCAGGATAAGGATACTTCTTCTAAAAAAGTGACAGCTATTTCCATCTAAGATTTGAAAATTATAGTCACATGACTGAATTAGAGACTCACCCTTGTGTTAAAGCTTTGTGAATTAGGTTTTAAGTCCTCAAATATATTAGAAGCCAATGGGGTTGATTTATTAAATGCGTAGAGGATGTAGACCTAGCAAAAAGTATTTTGATAGAGGGGTTAGAACCAGTGTCAGGTCTTATTGCTGTCTGTGTCCTGGTAGGAAGATTTGCACTCTGTCTTGGTCATCAACCAATGTCACTGGGAATGGAAGTGAGGGTAAGGGCTTGTTTACACCATCTGCATAACCTGATAAATGCAGCTCACTGCAAGCGCATGCATACACATACATACATATGTCAAAAAAGAGTGAAACTCTCTTCTTCAGGTCAGAAGCAATACTATATACCTTACCCCCTCTCATATATATATATATATATATATAAACTCCCCTCAGTGTCTCCTGCACACAAAAATGCATGTAAACACATCTCTGTGCACCTTATTACAGGTACTTATATAGAACTGACAATTTACCAAGCGCTCTACATAGCGCAGAGTCACATCAGTCCTGGTGCTGTCGAAAACGCCAATTTCTCGAGATCTCCTTTATTTACTTTGCAATGAGAACAACCTCTACTGGTTAGTGATTGAACCCCCACCCCTGCTACCCCTAGCTGGCTGAGCTCTATCTGGATCTATGGGGGCAGAGGCCACCATCTCTGACTGACTGGTCCCATGGGACCCAAGCACTCGGATTCCTGAGCCCCATCCAATGTGTAGCCTTTCCTCTGACATAAAGGTGCAAACACAGGCTCCTTGTTCTGTCAAACTGCGCCCTGAGGTCACCATATCAACCACTGCCAGCGTCATATAGGCTACTATGTTTCTCTTCCACATTTCCATGTATAAGGCAAGAACCGCACAGCATTTAAATCCAACACGCGTTATCCTCAATCACACACTTATATACCCGTTATAGGTTCGTAACCTCTGTGACACACAAAAAGGAAACATTTCTCCACACCGTTAGCCAGCCCGTTACCTTAGCAGCTTCCTTCTACTCCGCCCGACCTGCCTTCACACGCCGACACCGGAAGCAGCTGCACGCCTGGTGGGCGTGGCTTCCTGCCTTAGCGTCACCTCGCTCCTTAGCATTGATTAGCGGGAGACTGGACGTGGGCGGGCCTTTCTTTGCGGTTGGCTAGAGAGCGCCACGTCCACACGGGCGCGCGCGCCGCACTGGTAAGGAAGGGCCGGGGTGCGCGCTGCAGCGTGGCGGGAGATTTGTGAATCCGCCCTGCAGAGGGTGTGTGACGAGCGCGATGGGGGACGTGCTTGTAATGCAAGCCTTGCGTCTGCACTTGGGGTGTTTAGAAAGCAATAGGTGGTCTCGGGTATAGGCTATGGCTGGCAGTAAGGGCATAAAACAAATGCTGTGTTGGGATCATACAGCATATCATTTTAGAGGGTTCATGCACAAAGGCATAAGAAACAGTAAAGTGAATTCCTAAAGACTAGAGCCAATGGAATCTGGAGTAGTTGCCCGTAGTATCCAATCAGCTTCTTTCTTGAGTCAGTTTAGTTAATGCATTAAACAGCAAAAAAAGAGATAGATGGGGCTTTTAAGGTGTCAAAAAATGCAATTAGGGATAATACAACATAGTAATGACAAAATTACATAGTAAAATAACATTTATTTATTAAAAGATTCTGCCTGCACCAGTTTTTATGAATTCCCCTGAGGGAATACAGTTGAAAATAGTAGTATTCTATTGCCCGGGGGCCACTCACAGGAGAAATATAAAGGTTTGCTCTTCCAGGTTAATTTCCAGTATAATTCCATGGGGCAATTGGTGGAAACCCCGATGAGGGAAAAAACATTGTTAGATTTATTAATTGCAAGTAACACAGAGCTGATTACAGATGTGCAAGTCGGGAACAAGCTAGGAAGCAGTGACCACAGAATGATAATGTTCATGGTAAACTCAGGAAAACACAGGCATGTAAGGTAATACAAGAAGACTCAATGTTAGAAAAGCTAGCATTAATAAACTAAGAGGCCTACTATGTGACATAAATTGGGATGAAATATTCCTGAATAGGAACACAGTTGAGGAATGGGTTGGTTTCAAGGAAATCTTAAATAACAAAATTGGCCAGTGCATTCCGTTTACCACTAGATTCAGAAAAGCAAAAATTAAACGAGAGTGGTTAGAAAGCAAGGTAAAACAACACATAAGAGAGAAGGATAAGGCCTTCAAAAATATAAATCAGAGGGGACAGCATCGGCATTCAAAAACTGCAAGGTATGCAACAAAAAATGTAAAAAAGCAATCGGGGCAGCAAAAGTAAAATATGTTTAATCCATAAACTAAGGTCTATAGGTCTAGCTGAAACTGTATGTACATGTGTGGAAAACTGGCTGCAAGAACTTACCCAGAGGGTAGTGATAAATGGGTCATTCGTTAATTGGGCAGGGGCTGGGAGTGGGGTGCCCCAGGGTCCTGTTCATTTTATTCATCCACGACATAGAGATTGGACTAAGTAGCTCAATTTCGTTTTTTGCGGATGATATTAAACTCTGCAGAGCAGTAAATTCCGAACAAGAGATATTTGCACTACAACAGGACCTAAGCAAAATTGAGGAATGGGCTACAAGATGGAAAATGCGATTTAATGTTGAAAAATTTAAGGTAATGCACATGGGAGTAAAGAACATATGCACAAACTACTACTTGGGAGTGTTACTTTAGGGAAGTCAGACATAGAAAAAGTCTTGGGGTGCTCATAGATCACAGATTTGGCAATAGTAAGCAATGCCAAGCAGCAGCCAGCAAAGTTAACAATATACTGTCGTGTATTAAAGAGGAATTGTAGAAGGGATCAAAGAGTAATGCTTTCACTTTATAAATCATTGGTTCGGCCCCATCTTGAGTATGCTGTACAGTCCTGGAGGGACGTCCTGGAACTGGAGAGAGTTCAGAGAGGGCTACAAAATTAATTAAAGGGATTGAAGGCATAAGTTATGATGACGGCATTCAAAATCTAAACTTATTCACCATAGAAAAGAGGTGATTAAGAGGAGACCTTATCACCTCTTTTAGACCTTAGTTTATGCCTTAAACACTTGCCTTTTGCTAGTAAAAGCTTGTAGAGGCGGCTCTCTCCTATATTTTCTGTACAATTGTGTTTGACACCAGAAAACTTTATGCATTCTTCCACTGGCTGAAGATTCTGCAAAATCTCACACTTCCAGGAGTGCCAATATTTGATTTTCCTCCCAGCAGCCTCTGCGTCACTACAGGACAAATTGCATCAATGATTGCAGCATGGGGACTGAGAATGTGAGACTATAGCAGGGGTAGGCAAATTCCCCCCCAGCTCTCTTGCAACTACAAATCCCTCTAGGCTTTGCAAGACTCTGACAGCCACAAGAGACAGATGCATGCTGGGATTTGTAGTTTCACCGCAGCTGGACGGCTAGGTTTGCTTATCCCTACTCTACAGGTTTCCTACCATGTTTTTTCCTTCATAACAGCACTGATCAGCAGAGAAGGAGAGAATTTCATGTCTTTTTCTTGCAACAAGGCCAACAATGTTTGGAAAGTTTAAATGGCAGAATTACTTTAACCACTTCAAGACCAGGTGTTTAGACCCCCTTCCTGTCCAGGCCATTTTTCAGTATTCAGCGCTGCGATACTTTGACTGACGTTTATTCCGTCATGCAACGCTGTACTGAAATTAATTTTATACCATTTTTTGGGTACAGATAGAGCTTTATTTTGGTGGTATTTAATCACCACTACAGGTTTTATTTTTTATTATAATTAGGAAAAATTACTGAAAATTTTGAAAAAAAAAAGGTTTTTTGTAACATTATGTTAGGAAACATTTATTATTACCCAGTTTTTTGGTCAAATATAAAAGATCAGGTCACGTCGGTTAAATAGACACTAAACATGTCAAGCTTTAAAATTGCGCGCACCCGCGACATCGCAGAAAACGACGGCAACCAAAATTGGCCATAGGCGACACTTTAAACGTTTTTACCGCTCATCAGTTTA